TTATTACAAAAATATTTTATATTATTTATAATTTAAAAAATATAGTATTTTGTTTTAAAAATTTTGTATTATATCTTACATTACAATTTTCATTAATGTTTCTTTTCCATTTTCTTTTATTCTCTTTGGTAACTGCTGATGGAACAACATTCGCAAATGATTTTATTTTTGGATTTAAATGTAAAAGATTCTAAGAGAAAATATATATTTATAATTAAATTGAAATATGTTATAAATATACGGATATATCTTAAAGAAACAAGATAAATACTCACTTCTATATCAGGCACATCTTTGCTTAGTATTGTAACAGATGTCATTTCTTCTTATATCAATATTAAAGTTGCACAATTATTAAATAATTATAAACAATAAAGATATCATATATATTTCACTAAATTTTACGTTTAATAACTGGAGCAATTTATTATGAACAACTTACGAATTATCAAATTAAAATTAATTAACTCAAATAATAGATTTAAAATTATTATACTTTATTTATATCATAGTGGATACATATTACGTATCTTGTAAATATCCTGATAAATTTAAAGATATTTAATTGACAAGAAAATGATAACTAATAATATGTTACAGATTCTCCCTACCATTCGTATATCATATACGATAATTCCGTTTATCATATACTGTGCCACGTCTTCATAATAGCACTTTCTTTTATATACGATATATATTAAATCTACTCTATATAATCAAACCAAATAGTTTCAAACATATTCTTGATTTGCAACACTCAATCTAAATTGAAAAAATTACTTTTTTATTAATTTAATCCAAAAATGAAAACTATATATAATATTTAATCAAATTAAATTTCTAAAAATTTGTAATATTTCATTTCATCTTATTATGAAATTATTATTATTATAAAATATTTTATTTTAATTTGATTAAATAGTAAAAAAATATAATAATATTGTACCATAAAATATTGATATAACTCCAACAATATAACTTCATATTATAAATGATTATAGTACGAGAAACTATTCTTTTCAAATATCGTTTAATTAAATATGAATAAGAAAGAAGTATTTAATATGATTATAGACCATCATAAAATCGTCCTATAATCTTGAGAATCTTCTAATTAAATGTTACAATTCTATGATATTTATAAATATTAGAATCTCTTTAGCAAAAGAAATTAATAGAAACATAGATAATATTTTCAGTTCAAACATAAATTTCGAAGTTGTATGAATTTACACGATTTAAATGATGCGTTTAAGAAAATAACTAATCATTTACAAAAAATAAAGAAAAATAAACTAAATTGCAAAAAATTAATTCTAATAAACATTTACAAAATAGTTTATCTATTATTTATTATGTTGATTTATGGCCTGATCGTGTCAAATATAAATATTTGATATATTTTATATATAATTATAATTTATAATTTGTAATTTAATATTTTTAATAGAAATTATTATTATTGGCGAAATTATATATATTATTGGGGAAAGATAGAAATAATGATGACTGGTTTAACTATTCTTATGACAAATTCTACATACGCTGCAAAAGTGAGTATAATTTTATGTGCATATTATTATAATAATTATATTATATTAATTTTATTATACAAAATTGTAATAATTAAAACTATTTTAAAAACATTTTATGACAATATAATTAATAATTGTATATTATTAAATAATTATAATTAAATAATTATTAATTGTATATTATTAAATATGAAAAAATATTCCTTTCAAATATCGTTTAATTAAATATGAATACAAAGAAGTACTTAATATGATTATAAGCCATGAAAAAAATATGAAAAATTAAAATTGTTCTTTTTATACATACATAATAAATATGTATTTTATAAATAAGTATATATTTTATTAGATACATGATATATATTCTACTTTTTGTTTTTGCATATAGATGATTTATATTATTTCGATATAAATGTATCAAAAATCTTATAGATATAACAAACAGTAAAATATTTAATCGAGATAACGATAAATATGAACATATTATATCATATTATAATTGGCAAGGAATTTTTCATCATATAGCTTATCATATAGCTTATTATATTATGCTTTGCAAGCATATCTATATTTTCTTATAGTTGTATACCATTACAAAGTGTACTCAGTGAAAAATCCAAACAATTATCAATAGCTGGATGGTATCTTTATAATATAACATCTACACCAATTTTTGAAATTGCTTGATTATATCAAGTGCTATTTATCCTCATAAATTGCATTATCAATATAGCAATAGATATTCTTATAACAAGTTTTATAATAATTACCTGTTGTCAATTAACGATTTTAAGTTATATATCTTCAATATATCTTTAATACATTATACAAAAGAATTACATTATACAGAAGATTAGAATCAGTAGAATCTTCAATTTTAATAACAAAAAACATATTGCTAGAAGTAATAATGTTAATATTGAAAAATCTTCTTCAAAAATTTATAATAAATTTCATGAAAGTTTGTAACACTGTGTTAAATACAGTATTATAATATTTGAGTAAATACTTCAATAAAGAATAACATTTATTTTTTAATTTATATATAAATTATTATATATTTTCAGTTTTACAAAACAGATCCAAGATATATTTAGTATTATAATATTTTTTCAACTTTTTGTAAATTGCATTATTGTTTGTTTGAACCAGCATTCAATCTATCATAGGTAAAGTTTGCCTATTAATTATGATTTTTATATTTTTATTTTATGAATTTTTTTCAATTTATGTAATCATATTTTATATATATTATATTTACAGATAAAAAATTATATTTACACCTGAATTTTTTGATTCATTACTATATGTCTATATCAAATCTTCATTTATTGCTGGTATGGAAATGAACTGTATCTTCATATATGTATGTTGCAGTATATTGCAATAATGTTGCAGTATATAGTTGCAATAAAGCTTTAATTGCAAATAATTTTATCAAAAAATATATTTTTCAGAGTATGAAAATATATTTATCTGCCTATAAAAATAATTGGTGGAGTAATAATAAAAATTTTAATTATACTTTACTCATTATAAATGATAATAACTATGATAAAAACTCAAATATCTCTATTATAATTATCTATTATAATTATTGGAAAAGTTATGGAAATATTTTTATAAAATTTTCTCTTAATATATACATATGTGTATATATGTGTATATATATTTTTTTTATACCATAATTTTTTTTAATTTATTAATAACTTTTTAGATTCTATATACATCATATTTTATTTTTACTCTTTTAAAAATTTTTACTATTTAAATTTGTATAATAAATAAATATTAATTATAAAATATTTATTCAAAATTTTCATTCAATAAACATAAAAAAATTTTATAATCATTCAATATATATCATTCAATAAAATATAAAAATTTTATAAGTATTTAATATGAATAATATATGGTAATATAAAAATAGAAATTTTTCATATATAAAAAAATTTATATAAAATATATATTAATAATAAAAATATATAAACAAATATGTATGTTATGTACATATATATATATTATACATATATGTTATATATATATGTTATACATATATGTTATATATATATATATGTTATACATATATGTTATATATATGTATATCAATGATTAAAGTGCTTCTATCATCAAAGCTATTCCTTGACCTCCACCAATGCAGGCCGAACCAATTCCTAAGCTTCCAGTTTTTCTTCTTCTGCAAGTATATATAATAAAAATAATTAAATATATAATATATAATAAAAATAATTAAAATAAAATATATTTTCTTTTATTTTATTTTAAACGTATTTTATTATTTTTATTATTTTTATTATTATATTTTGTATATTTACATACCTTAATTCATGTACTAAATGTGCAGTGATTCTACTACCAGATGCACCCAATGGATGTCCAAGAGCAATAGCTCCACCATCTACGTTTAATTTATTAATATCCAATTTCAAATCTTTAGCACATGCCAATGTTTGAGCTCCAAATGCTTCATTAATCTATATAACAAATGAATAAATATTTAATTTTTATATTTAAATAAAATGATACTTAAAATTTTTACTTACCTCGATAAGTTCAATATCATTTAAACTTTTATTTGTAATTTTAAGAAGTTTTTGTATAGCTGGAACTGGACCAATTCCCATAATACTAGGTTCTACACCTACAATACTATATCCCACCAAACGTGCCAGTGGTGTAAGTTGTTCTGTTTTAATAACTTCTTCACTCGCTAAGATAATAACTCCTGCACCATCAGAAATACCCTATGAAATAAATTATATGTTTAAAAAATAAAATGAATATGAAATATCCATATTATTTAATTAACTTTAAATAACAAAATGCGTTTCAACATACAGATGAAGATCCTGCTGTAACTAAACCATCTTTCTTAAAAATAGAAGGTAATTTAGTTAAATTTTGAAGAGTCGTTTGAGGTCGTGGATGTTCATCTGTATTAACAACAATATCTTGCTTTTTCACAGTTATTGTAACAGGTACAATCTCCTCATTAAAACGACCAGCATCATTAGCTGAAATAATATTCATTATTTCATATTAATTTTAATATTTCTATTCATTTGTGGTAATGATTTAAATAATTTAAATAATTAATATAAAAAATTATATTTACCAGCTTTCCATAATTGTTGGCTTCTTAAAGCAAATTCATCTACTTCTTGTCTTTTTAAATTGTACTGTGATCCAAGTTTTTCTGCAGTTTCACCCATAGCTAAATTGCAATAAGTATCTAATAATCCAAGCCATAAAACATCCTCAAAGTGATATTTTTGTCCTAAACTTGTACCAAATCGAATATTTCTTACAGTAAATGGAACTTGACTCATGTTTTCTACTCCTCCTGTTAAAACTATCTTAGATTCTCCTAATAAAATACTCTGAAAATAATCAATTGTTTTACATGTTTGTATAATGCTTAGCATGAATCAATTATATTTATTTATTTTAATTTTTTTTATCAATATTATATTATATAATTATATTATCAATATTATATTATATTATATAATTATATATAATAAAATAATATTATATTATTTATATATTATTTTAATTTTTTAATATCATATTGTGAATAAATCTACCTGTGCACCACTGACAATTGATTGAAATCCAGAACCACATAATCTATTTAATGAAAATGATGGTTTTTCTAATGGTATACCACATTTTAATGCAACATGACGTGCTAAAAAACCTCCATCACTTGATGATATCTTGTAAATAATAATTATAAATATTATAAAAAATATGAAATATAAATAATAATAATAATTATAGATTTTATAAAAATATTAAAAAAGTGCTTAATTATATATACTGGTAATACATGTCCAAAAATAACATTATCTATTTTTTCAGGATTTAACTTTGCAGATTGCAAAGCAGATTTAGCAGCAATTACTGATAAATCAGTTGCATTTTTATTTGTAAATTTACCACCAAATGTACCAAATGGAGTACGCTTTGCAGCTACAATAAATATTCCT